ATTACAATGTGGTTGAACTATTGGACAGTGTTATGTGCCCTGAGCTTGGCCAGAACATCCTGGGAAGGAAAATGTGCCATTCAACTGTACCATACGTATGACTACAAACTTAAGCACAAAACTAACTGAAATAGAGGAGAATGTGAGAGTTGTGTGCCCTGTCATGCTGAAGACAAGTGAATTACTATTTGGGTTTGTAGGGGGTGAAACGGAGAAAACCTGGTGTTACTTAACTATAATTGCCTTACTATACTTTGTCATTATGTGATATAGCAGAGTAAACACTGGTTATAATAGAAATAAGGAATTGTACTCGCCTGATTGTGGTTGCAGGGGTCGAGACTCAACTCCTGGCCCCGCCTCTTCACTAATCGCTACTAGGTCTTCTCTCTCTCTACTTCCTGAGCTTTGTCATACCTCGTCTTAAAGTTATGTATGGTTCCTGCCTCCACTACATCACTTGCTAGGCTATTCCACTTCCTGACGACTCTGTGACTGAAGTACAGTGGACCCCCGCATAACGATATTAATCCGTTCCTCAGAGCTCATTGTTATGCAAAATTATCGTTATGCGAATGAATTTTCCCCATAAATGAAGAATAAATGACACTTACCTTTATTGAAGATGCAGCAATGACTGATGAGACACTGTGTCCTGGGAGTGCCTTTTCCTCCTGAGTACTGTAGGTCCTGTTTGACATTTTCTTCCAGAACAGTCCTTATCACACTGTGTATGCCACTACGATTCTTAAATCTCTCAAACCAACCTTTACTGGCTTTAAATTCACCAATATGAGCACTAGTTCCAGGCATTTTTCCCTGTTCACCTGGGTGTTAGTCGACTGGTGTGGGTTGCATCCTGGGAGACAAGATTAAGGACCCCAATGGAAATAAGTTTGACAGTCTTCGATGACACTGACTTTTTTGGGTTATCCTGGGTGACTAACCCTCTGGGGTTAATTGTTTCTTGGTATTCTCAATAAGCCACACCAACAACGGTGCTACAGCAGCAGCAGCAGCAGCAGCTGACAGTGCTACAGCAGCAGCTGACAGTGCTACAGCAGCAGCAGACGGTGCTACAGCAGCAGCAGACGGTACTACAGCAGCAGCAGCAGCTGACTGTGGTACAGCAGCAGCAGCAGGTGATGGTGCTACAGCAGCAGCAGCAGCTGACAGTGCTACAGCAGCAGCAGACGGTGCTACAGCAGCAGCAGACGGTACTACAGCAGCAGCAGCAGCTGATGGTGGTACAGCAGCAGCAGCAGCTGATGGTGGTACAGCAGCAGCAGCAGCTGATGGTGGTACAGCAGCAGCAGCAGCTGATGGTGGTACAGCAGCAGCAGCAGCTGATGGTGGTACAGCAGCAGCAGCAGCTGACAGTGCTACAGCAGCAGCAGCTGACAGTGCTACAGCAGCAGCAGCTGACAGTGCTACAGCAGCAGCAGCTGACAGTGCTACAGCAGCAGCAGCAGCTGACAGTGCTACAGCAGCAGCAGCTGACAGTGCTACAGCAGCAGCAGCTGACAGTGCTACAGCAGGAGCAGCTGACAGTGCTACAGCAGCAGCTGACAGTGCTACAGCAGCAGCAGATGGTGCTAAAAGCAGCAGCAGATGGTACACAGCAGCACAGCAGCTGACGTGTACAGCAGCAGCAGCAGCTGAGGGTGCTACAGCAGCAGCAGCAGCTGACAGGCTACAGCAGCAGCAGCATCAGCAGTTGACCATGGAAACCACAGTATTTCGATAATATTTCTCACACTTTTAACCACAGGGTTGGCACTAGAAGCTTTCTTGGGGCCCATGGTCACTTATTTTGCAGATAAAATCGCCAAAAACACTAATAATACGAAATGTTCCGATTGTATGCTTGGATGTTACCGCGGAGGCTGGCTTGTAAACAATGCCACCGGCGGAACATGTGAGGCTGGCTCAGGCCTCACATAGACGCGTCTCGGACGAATAGCGTTGAGCGAGTTTTTTAGCGCTATGCGAGGCAAAATTTTAGTGATAAAATGTATCGCTATGCGGATTTAACGTTATGTTATGCCAATGGTATGCGGGGGTCCACTGTACATACTTCCTTGTACATAAGCTTGTATTTTGAAGAAAATGGTATACAGTACCGACAAATAGATGAGTAAGATGCATGCAACAGTAGGATATCATTATTGGTAGGCTTCTTCAGTCAAATACACTGCTGTGTTTGACTGAAGAAGGCTACCATGTAGGCAGAATGTTTCAACAATACCCTACTGTTGTACATGTTCCCTCCAAGTATGTTTTTGTAGGTCAAGTAAGGTATATTCTGATCATTGGGCACCACCAAGGATAGAAATCACATATACCCTTTACTGTTGTAGCTTAGTACCATCTGTTGTTAACCCTATCACTTAGCCATAGTGTAAAATGTTGTGATCACAGTTATAAGAACAAAACAGTGGAGCACTGCAGTAGGACCATTGACTTTATAGGCAGAACAAATCAAATAAAAATTATCATTCACTAATGCCTGTATTCTATATCCTTTTTAATGTTATACGGTAAAATATTTATTAAATTGAAATTCATTAAAAAAATTCATAGAATTTTACACTAGTTTTTTGCATTATTTGCTCTAACCACTTTAACTCATAACTGTCAGAACCCCCAAATTGAAAGTCCCTTCTGTGTTGGCATTTTTTATATATAAAAAAAAAATAATTTTATCTTTGAACAAGGTAGAGAATCTTTTGAAGGTAATGACACCAAAAATGCAAATTCTGATGTAATATTGTACTTATGGAATTAAATATACACAACTGATTTACATAACTGATTTTGCCCACTTTGAGGTGGAACCCCGGTTTTCATCCAGTCCGGTTATCGTACAATTCAGTTTTTGACCACTTTTTTCGGCGAAATTTTCCCTGTTTTGTACATCCACTCAGAAATTGTCCGTACCAGACACATCCACCTGCCTGTGGGACGCAGCCGTTCATATGTTTGTGACTCAGTCTGCCTTTGTTACTTGTTCACTAAGAGTGAAATAGCTAAGAATTTGGTCGAGTTAAATAATGAAATTGGTGTAATGTAGAACAAGGGTTAAATTACCAAGACTGCTAACTTTGCACCTATGTAATTCCAAAAGTTTTTTCATCAAATTTTGTGTTTTGGTTTCATTACCTTCAGAAAAAGATTCTCTACCATTTTTTTTTTTGTGTGTGGGGGGGGGGATGGCAACTCCGTAAATACTTTTAATTTCAGGGCTTTCAACAGTAAAAGGGTTGATTATGTGGTCAGGCTTCTCCCATATAACACTTGCCCTCCATTTTGATCCGTTCCTTACCTAAGTGGTTGAGTGGGAAAAAGGTAGTCAACTGTACATATAAACTTGTGTAACATGTATACTTATTTACTGGCTGAAGAGGGTCTCTGTGTTCCATATTGTACATTAATGCACAGTGTGTGATGTACTATGAGACAAAAAAAAATAGTGCAATGTAGTTTCTCTGTCTATATGATACATTTGTTCCTGCAAAACTAAAAATTGTGGACAGTGCAAAAAAATGGCTGCATTTTTTTTTTTATTATTTTAGACTTAAGTCCATTTCATGCTTCAGAGAACATATACTATCACAAATCTAGTTAATAATGACAGTTGTAAGAATCATTTTCTTTCAACAAACCGGCCGTATCCCACCAAGGCAGGGTGGCCCAAAAGGAAAAACGAAAGTTTCTCCTTTTTAAATTTAGTAATATATACAGAAGGGGGTTACTAGCCTTTTGCTCCTGGCATTTTAGCCGCCTCTTATGACGTGCATGGCTCACTGGGGAAGAATTCTGCTCCACTTCCCCATGGAGATAAAAGGAAATAAACAAGAAGAACTAATAAGGAAACAGAAGAAAACCCTGAGGGGCATGTGTGTGTGTATACATATACTTGTACGTGCATGTGCAGTGTGACCCAAGTGTAAGTAGAAACAGCAAGACATATCTGAAATCCTGCATGTTTATGAGACAGAAAAAAGACACCAACAGTCCTACCATCATGTAAAATAATTACAGGAGTTGTAAGAATGACCAAAATAAAAAGTAATTTGGGTGTGGGAAAGCCATTGAGCATAATATGAACAAAATCTTGCTGGTAGTTGTAAATTTAGGGATCATGTACCAAGCCTGGAAGAATGAGTATTGATAGTAAATGTGTGGATAATTCAATCAATGTGTGTGTTTGTTACCAGAAATATAATTCTGATAAAATTCAAATTTGTAGGATAATTATATTTAATAATGTATATTATTACAGCCTCTCCTCACTTAACGATGGAGTTCCATTCCTAAGACCACATTGTTAAATGAATTCATCGTTAAGTGAGGAGCATACTCTAATGGTAGTGGGTTTGTGTCAACCATCTTTGATATTGTTTTAATGTCACCTTTGCACTATTTATAACATTTCTGGTATATTTTTAAATGTTTATACATACAGTAATGTACTGTATATTGAAATAAACAGATAAGAGGAAATCAGCTGTAATATACATTATTTAGGTATAAATACTGGTCAGAGAGCCCATTGTAAGTCCAAGGCATCAGTAAACAAGTGCATCGCTAAGTGAGGAGAGGCTGTACTGTATATTTTAGTGTATAAATTTTATATTTTTGCTATAGATACTGTTTCCCAGTTTGTCTCAAGAGTTAATGTATTCTGTTTCAAATATGGTAAACCCTTGATTTAAGGCACTAATGAAGGCAAGGGGGGTGGATGGCTGGTAATGCCAGCTACCATGGATACTGATGAGATTGTCTTGCCCTGACTGTAGCAGTAACGAGCAGTTCTGTAACCGATGAACATTTGCCATTGTTTCTGAATTGAATAATCTGGCAGGGTTTATCATGTACATGTATTTCCTAAGTTCATTTAAAGTGAGGGCTGTTTAATCAGTGGTTTACTGTACTTTTTCTGGCAGTAGTTTTGTAGATGGTCATTTTACATATGTACTGTTCTCTTAATATTTCAGATTACGGCAGCGGACAGTACAGGTCACTCGTACTGATGGAGCTGACTGTTCAACTCCAACAAATCGTCGATTTAAAAGGAAGGCAGAGGTGACTGTAGAAAATCTGTACCGCCAGCAGAATGTTAAGGAAGTAACGTCAACTCCACTGGAAACTATCTATGAATCACCTCGACACAAGAAAGGTGGGAAGTGGAACATTAGAGAAGAGACTGTTGGTGATACTGACTTATCTGTAATGGCTGTAAAAAAACTGAAGCGTCTTTGTTTATTTGCCAGTCATTACAACCCTTCAAAGCAAAAAATTCGTTCTCGTAAGGAACGTGCTCGTAAGATGAAGCAGTTAAAAGGGGTGAAAATTCCAAAGGGAACATCCATTTCATTTAAGGACCTTGAGGCCGTGCTTGCTTGCCTATCAGAAGATGAAAATCAAAATGAAAATAATCATATTACTAATAGTACATTTTCAAGTTTAACTGAAAGTGTTGGGTTTTATTCTGGGAATATTATACAGCCTGACATGGGGAACACTTCTGTTGATGATATTACGCAAAACATGAATGCTCTTTTGGTGGATAATTCAAAGCTACACAAAGAAATCCACTTGGACTTGGAGAATATAATGACGGATCCAATATTTCATGAAGACTTTATTTCATCATCCATTACTGATGAACCTTTAAAGCCGCAGTCCCTAAATTCCCGGGAGAAAAAAACGAGAAGACGATCAGGAAAATTATCATGGTGTCTTTTGCAACCTTTGTGTAAAACCTTGGAGGAGCCTCTTAATAAGATACAAAATAAAGGTGAGGAGTCATCTTTAAATCAGCATTGCTTATTAATGACTGATTCCTCCTTGACAACCAGTTCACCTGCAGATGACAAAGAAAAACCTTGTATTTCTGAAGTATGTGAATCATCATTAATTGTGAAAGAAATTTCCAATGATAAGTGTGAACAAATGGGAACAGAACTGCACAAGACAAGTAAAGATAGAAAGACCAAGGAGAGTGTAACACATATCCAGAAAGATGTTGAAAAATATAGTGAATTCCCAGATGAACAAAGAACTGCAGCAAAACAAAGAGCAAAACAAAGAAAACCTCAGAATGAGCAAGGAAATGAAATAAAGAAGGCCAAGAAATTAGAAATTGGCTTAAAAAGATCTGGTAAATCAGAAGCTGACAGTGTAATTAAGAAAAGGAGAAGTTCTAAAGCTACTGATTCCTTAGGAAAAAAAGAGGTACCATCATTACCAAGTAACGCCACCTCTGAAATAATGCTTCTCTCACCTGATAATGGCCTGTATACAGATTTGCAAAGCTCTCAAGAAGTAACTGTTTCAAAATCTACCAGAGGTACAGTGCAAAAGAAGGGAAATAAACAAAGAAAGCGAAGAGTGTCTGGCATTCAGAGACCTTTGTACCGCACGATCCTTGAACCAGAAAGTGATACTTCAAATAGTACCTCGGATCATCTTGATAGTACTGCAGATGCTAGTTTTACAAACTGTGTAGAACCCTGCATGAAATTGAAGTCTACATCAATTGTATCTCAAGATGGTATTGCAATCAGCCAATCTCCCACTGTACCTCCAGTAGGTGACACTGTTATTTGTTACTCGCCTTCATCCCCTTCAGCTCAAATGGCTGCTCTTTCTCTTCACACAGATCAGTTCTCAACATCACCCAGTGTAAATACTGTACAGTTACCCATTACACACTATAATATGAAAACTAAACAAAAGGTTCAAAGACGGTCTGCAAGATTAAGTATAGAACGTATAACTAGTGAAGGATTATTAAATAATTCTGCATCAGGTTTTGGCTCATATTGGTCAGCCATTTCACCACATTCACCAATAACTACTAATGTGGAAAGCATCAGTACTCGGTCTGACTGTGAATCACAATGTGAGAAGAAAACAGTCAAAGGAAATGTTATACGCAGGAATAGGGCACAAACAAAAGAATTTAAGAATAGACGTCAATTGGAAATGTTACATAAACTGGATTTGAAAGTGGAGGCTGAAGAAACTGAAGTCACTGGTAATAAGGATGCTTCTAGCAGTGTAGCAGATCATCTTGCTGCCACTGTATCTTCTGAGAGAGAGTCTGAGAGTGATAACTCTGTAAATGTTGTCCCACTTAGGGAATGTAGACTGCAGATTTCATCACATTTACATGACATTTTAGATGTGACAGAACTTAATGATCAGTCATTGATTGTACCATCACATAGCACCAGAATAGACAATCCCCTTATAGAAAGTTTGTCTAATGTAGCAGTACAAGAGAATATACCTGGATCTGTAGATACCTTGTGTCCAGATAATGAGATAAAATATGATAAGCCACCATTTACTATACAAATAAAGCAGGATATAAATAGCTCGGAGAGTAGCCATAAACAAGTAGGCATTTTACCAGAACTGTCTGATGGTGATGTAGAGAGAGAAAAAAAGAATGATAAACCAGAACTTCAATATAACATGAATGTGCATGCAGTACAATCAGATCCCTCAGTTACCTCAGTGTCCTGTCAGGTTTCTGGACCAATAGATAATTTAGCCACCATCTGTATCTCTCGAGTAAGTTCAAATGACAAACAGAGCCTTAGTCAGTGTTCATTGGTAGAATACAGTGGTGATCATATTGAATTAAATTCTCCCATTATTAGTGGAATGTTTGAAAACAAGATGAGTATTAAGCAGGGAAAGATATACTGTAACAAAGATGCTTCAAGAAGCAGCCCAGTTACACTGTCATTGTTATGCTGTTCTGACTCCAAGATTCACTCTCAAGATCTTGAACCCAAGTAAACTGCATCTTCAAAATTTATATAGTTACTTTTATATAAAATACATCCTTATCAAGATTTCATAGAGTCGTCCATTGCAGTTTGTGGATTGAAGATGGGAGATATTACTTAATGCAGAATCCTGTAAATTCTTTAGTTAATAAATAGGGATGGTGAAAAATACATTTTTGTAAGAAACCTTTATAATACATGATTTACTTTCCAGTATTCATTTCATAACCATCTAAACCAGTGATGCATAAACATACTAGTCATGCAAAAAGACTTCCTTGCCAGTTGGTATCATGCGTCCAACAAAAATGCTTGAAAGTTTCATTTAGAAGTCTACATTTTCATAGATTGATGTGAAGTATGTAGTTGTTACTTGTATAGGCATACCTTGTTAATATGGTGCCTTTCAGTTATATTCGTGTTTGTGTTATTTTCAGTGCTTGCCTTGCTCTTAAGATGGTTTTTGGCAGTTTTCAATTTTTTTTATTTATTTTGACTTGTAATGTTTTTAGGCCTAGTGCTATTGCATGTAAACATTTTTAGGCCTAGTGCTATTGCATGTAAACGTTTTTATATGCACTGTCAAGTGGGAAAAAAAAAAAGCTGTGATTGTCTTGATGGCAGCGGTCTGGAACCTAACCAGTCACATTACTGAGGTATGTCCACATTCTTAAATTGAAATATTTTATTCCATGCATGCTTCAAGAGAAATGAATACAGTGTAGATAGATACATCATCTTCAAAGTATGAGTAAAATTATGGCTGTTAATCTAACAAATTAGTGTGAAATTATAAAGCTGTGTATGTACTAAGTTAATGAATGAGTCTCTGTGAATACAGGCAAAAAAGGAAAAGCCATCATAGAAGAATGTTCTTCCTTTCTGAACTCTTAGTCATTTATCAACAGTAATTACAGTTGTTAAGGGCCTCTTGTTCATCCCTGGTCAAAAGCCTACTGCAAAACTCTCCAAGTCTAACATGTTTTCATTTATTTCCCCACTTATTATTTAGTAAACCAACTTTACCTTGTTCTTCTTCAGTGCCTTAACAAACTTTGACAGTTCCAAACACTGCCATTTCTTGACTGATGTCTATGTGCTACCTAATGTGTAACCCCCCTTCCCCTTTCCCTTTCCCCCACCCCTCCTTACCTTGTCTGTAGTGATGTCCTCCTTGGAACACCTCTTGCCCTCTATGAACACTCTGCCTTGTGGTGTTGAATAACCCTTAAGGGTTCTGCATATCACATTAGAGTATGTACAGTAATTAGGTTTGATCAAAAAAAAAAAAAAAAAAAAAAAAAAGGAATAGCTCTCATTCCTTGTATCAAGAGTCCTTCAAAGCATAAAAATATCCCCCTTTTCCTTTGAAGGGAGTACAGGCTTAATGCTTTTCATGACTGTTATATTGACCCTATAGAAATGTTTCTAGGTAAGTACAGTACAGGCCGGCCATTACTAATCCGGCAGTCAGTACTCTGGTTCCATCAGTAATCTGGCACTAATTTCGCCTAGCATAATTTTAAATTTCCGGGGTTGCCACACCAACCTACAGCTACTGTTTGGTGGCACTACATGCTGCATAAGTCATTCCAGTTTCTTTTTCTCCATTTATTGTTATAACCTGCTCGCTTTTAGCCCTAAGCCATGGTTCCAACAAATAAATGGTTCTCGTTCTGTAAAGCACATACACTTTACAATGTCCTTAAAAGACAAGGTGGCTTAGAAGCCACTGTTGGTTGCCATGAGCTGGGCTCACTCAAATAAGCTGTGACTGGTAAATTTGGGCCTACGTATGAGAGGATAGGTCTGTGTGGTAAGTGTGCACTATATAAAAAAAAAATCCTGCAGCACGCAGTGCATGAGAAAAAAACTGCAACCATGTTTTTTGCGTAAAACGGCGACTTTGCAGTTGTAGTCGGTCTCATTTAATAGAATGGCAGATATATTACAGAAATAGATATGATTTTCATTAGTTCCACAATAGAAAGTACTGTACCTTGAAATTGAGCTCAAAGTACCAGAAATGTTTGATTTTTGCTATGTTCAAGAGTACAAATGATGTCACCATCCAATACGTATCCAACTAGCCAGTCTAATACTCAGTTACGAAAGGGTTGACATTATTTGTACAATTATTATAGTAATGCAGTAGTCTGCATAACAGTAAATCTTCTATTTCTTGTGTGAATAAAAATTCAAAATGGAAAGAAAGCGTAATATAAGAGGGGCCTGGAGACGTGACTAATGAAGAGAAAATTATTTTAGTGCCAGGAATGTCTGCATTGCTTGTTCTGGCCCCTATTTTGAAATTAGCATCTCTTGAAATTTGTGTGAAATTGGCCAAATTACCGATTTCTGACCACTTTATGTATTGGGTAGTTGAAATAGGTTAATGGGCGGTTTCTTGTACTCAATTGACAGAATAGAAGGAATACTGGCAAAATAGCTATGAGTTTGGTAGACTGGAACAATGGAATGGGCCAAAAATATGGTGTAAAGTGGGTGAAATTGCCAATGCATAAATATCGCTGTTGGGCTAAGTGTATTCTAACCTAACCTCTCTGTAATCTGGCAAAATCACTAATCCGGCACCCTACAGCCCCCAATGATGCCGGATTAGTGATGGTCGACCTGTGTTACCTTTTTTTTCTCTCTCCTGCCGAGGCAGGGTGATGTAAAAAAAAAAAAAATTATTCACTAACATTCACTTAGCTGTCTTGCCAAAAAGGCTGACATCACAATCAGCTCACCCTTTGATTGCAACATTCCCACCCGTTCTGCAGAGTGCAGGTACTGCCCTCAGACATTCAGAATTCAAGGCTGGCTAATTGTTTTTTTTTTTTCCTGAATTCCTTCATAAGTTACCTTGCTCATACACCATCATGATGTCCATTAAAAAGCACTTGCCTCCGTGCACTCCTATGACTGCTGGATGCTCAAGCCCCTAAAATTCGAAGCTTCCTGTATTCTCTCCCTCCTACCTTTCATCCCAGATTTATATGCCCTCTAGTGAACCTATCCCTCTTCACCTTCTACATGCCCAAACTACCTCAACAACTCCTCCTCAGACCTCGGAATTATACCATAGGTGACCCAACATTGCCTTTTAATTTCTACACTCCAAATTCTCTGCATGATATTCACACCACACTTCTCAAATATGACATCCTCTAACCTCCTTTTTGCTATAGCATTCAAAACTAGTGTGTCTCAACTATATAAGTGTTGATACCACTATACTCTGGTACAATCCCTCTTTTTCCTCCATAAATTTTCTTTCCACAGATACCTTAGAACATCACCCACCTTTTTACCCCTCATCTTTTCTGTGGTTCATATTTATCATAGACCCATCTATTCACATGTCCACTGCCAAATATCTAAATACATCTACCTTCTTCATACTTCCTTACTCCATTCTGATATTCAATCTATCATTGCCTAGTTTTTGTTAATGTTATCATCCTGCTCTTTTTCGACATCTACTTTTAAGTTCCTTCTTTTACATGCCCTTCCAAATTCATCCACCAACCTTTGTAATGTGTTCATAATCCCCTAAAAGAATTGTTATCAGGAAATATCCAATCTTTTAATCCCACACCCTTTCCTCAACATGCTAAGGTTTACATCTTTCACAATCCCGTATATGAATGTTAAACAACCATGGTGACCTTGGTCAACTTTTACTGGGAAACAAGTCCCCCTCCCTCCTGCATACCCTAACCTCTGCATGTGAACTCTCTAGCTGCTTTTAGTATCCTACCTATCTTTGAGCAGGAGGGTGGAATCTTCTGCTGAGTATGTGGTGGTGGTGTTGCACCCCAGTAAATGCAGCTGCATGTTAGTTACTAACAGGTGAAATTCAGAATTCATATATTGTAACCCTAAAATTATGTACATTACTGATGACAGTGTGGGTCACATAAATCAGCGTTTTTAAGCACAGTGCCCTCAGGTATACTACAAGGTGAATTTTGACCTAGACACAAGAAAATGCAGTGCATGATGGGAAAAGTAATTTTTTTGACCTTGTGTTTGGCTTAAAATAGTGACTTAAGTGTTTTCTTGGGTGGTTTTTATAGTTTATTAGTTTTCTTGGAAACAATTCAGAGAATGGAACACACATTAGTAAAATACAGATAATTTTGGTTTGCTTTTGACTGGAAATGCAGTAGTTTAAATTCCTACTGTATTCAGTTTATGATTTCTCCTGAGATAGGGTAGGGACCCACATACCCCTACACCCTAGTCTGTTTTATAGGGTTTTACTTGATCTGTTTCAATTATTGGGACTGTCTAAACCATGGCCAATCATTCTTGATTATATTTTATCATCTAAGAAATAGGGTCAAACTTTGATGTTTTTACGACAGTAGACTCAACATGGAGGATGTGATTAATGAAGAGGAAAGGTTGCTTTAGTAACTGGAATGCCTACCATGTTTATCTTGGACTTTGTTTTTAGACTGAAATTTGTTGAATTTTGCATGAAATTGGCCAACTTTCTTACATCTGTGCACTTTATAGTTGAATGGGCAGTTTCTTAGACTTGGTTGATAGAATGGAAGACATACTATTGAAATAACTAGGAATTGACTCAAATTGAGCACTGAAATTTACTGAACTAGGACTCGAAAGTGGGCATAATCACTTTTGCCTTAATTGCACCCAAACTGCCAACTTTGTGTAATTCCAAGTTTCCCCATCATATTTTGTATTTTTTTTTTTCTTTTACCTTAAAAAAAATCTCTGCCATTTCTGATTTTTTAAATCATGATTTTAAATTTGGTTGGTTGCATATTTTTTTTTTTTTTTAATGGAAGATTTCTATTAGTGGGCGCTGTATAGCCCTTGTGGCTTAGCGCTTCTTTTTGATTATAATAATAATCTATTAGTGGGAGGACATTCCAGATGATGGTTAAAGTTTTGCTTTTGAGGTGTATGTGCTGTTTGTGTCATTGCTTGTCTGTTGTTTCTTGACATCTGGATCAAAGCTCCTCTTAACCTTTAGTGTAAGGATGATCCCTGAATCATTGTTGCAGTGTGGGGTGAGCCTATTCCATAGTCATGGTAAGGTTAGGGTCAGAGATACTAGAAAGTATAAGTAGAGCATCAGTATGGGTTTCAGGCAATAAATGGTTTTCAGGTGGTGGTTCTGCATTCTGCAAAGGGGTCCATGGCTTTTCAGGGGGTTGATAGAGGGTGCTGTAGTCACTTTGGATTCAGGAGAATTAGATAATACCTGAATCATTGTCACCTTCATTGCAACATGTGTATTGTGTTCCTTGGAAACCACATCTTTCCTTACCTGTTGCACACTACGATGGCACCTTGCATCTCCAGAATTGACTTAAGCAAGGCTTAGCAAAACTGCCTGTTTAGACAAGAGCACTATTTATACAGCCATCTTTCAGTCAATGGGGAAGGATGAACCAGCAAAAATGCCAAGCTATAGACTTTCAGCTCTCACTCCAGCATCTGTAAGGAATCTCCAGTTGAATGGTGGAGGGTGAATCAACAAGAGTGCAAATTGCAGAACAGGTGGGGGCTCAAACCCATGGCAGGTGAGTCTTAAAACTTGCAAGCCAGTGATTTATGATTTTGAGTCGAGAATGACTAAGTTATACACCTTCAGTTGGCACTTTTGGTTCTACAGGCAATCTCCAGTTGTGCTTCTGCCTTCATAGGTTATGCCATATGGACCCCTCAAGGAAGGTTCCTTGATGTTGGTGAGGGGCTCTTGATTTAGGGAATTGGATCTGTGCTCCAGTTCCCCGAATTAAGCCTGAATGCCTTCCACATCCCCCCCCCCAGGCGCTGTATAATCCTCCGGGTTTAGTGCTTCCCCTTGATTAAAAAAAAATAATAATACCCCCAATGGTTACCTATGTCTTTTAGGGGGAAACCTGATTTTTATTATTATTATTATTATTATTTTATTTTTATCAAAAAGAAGGGGGTAACCTGATATACCCTGTGACCATTTTCCATCAGGGGGTGATCTATCACAAGTACCTCTGAAGTTACATTAGACCTGGGCCCAATAGTGTCACTTTCCTTTTTCAATGATTTTCCCAAAAATGGAAGTATCCATAATAAACAGCCAAAGGCGGGGGAAAGGGTTTGGGGGGTTTTT